GCAACCAAATGAACAGTAATTGCAGAACATAAATAATGAAAAATGCACTGCAAATAATTTTTTGTTTAAGAATTCACCATCATTACTTGACCTTTAACTTAGGATAGCAGCAACCTTAAATTTCCAGTTAAAGAAAAAACTCACATAATATTCTTAAGATAACACTGCACTCAATTTATTCACAAAGCAAATAGCTAAGGATGACGTATATGTCATGATGATCTATATCTCATATGTTTACAAGAAATATATATCAAAGGGCCTGTGGGACTTACAAGCGACATGAAACAAAAAGCCTTATAAGACTTTAGAAGTTTAGATCCGGATCTGATCCGTTGATTTTTAGGTTGACCTAACTCAACCCATGAACCTATAGCGGGCTCCAGCGCAAGTGCGGCCACAAGGGTTAGCACAATCGCATGCTTCGAGGTTGAGGAAAATGAGCGTGACTGCAAGGATGTGAGCGCGAGCGCAACTGAGGTAGGGGAGCATGGGCAAGGCAAGCAAGTGCGAGTGAGGCAAATGAGCGAGGGACTGTTGGTGCGAGCATGCGAGCGCGGGACGCGGGGGTGAATTCAAGCACGAGTGCTAGGCGAGGTCACGGTGTCATGTTGGATTGGAACCAAGATCAGTTCCAGGTTGATTCGGGTTTTTGGTTTAGCCTGAATCCAACTCAAATTTGCAACCTGGAAAATATTTGAAACCCGAACCCGACCCATTTCTTAAATTCGTTGATCTAAACCCAAAATTTTTGGATCAGGTTCCCGTCGGATTTTCAGGTCGTGTCAAATATTGATGACCTTACAATATTGTAGTATTTTATTAAAATTACAGCATACAAAAAAGTTATCTTCTCCTCCGTCCCCTCCCACGAATTCTCCCACGAGAGGCAACCGAGATAACATGCCTATCACGAACCAGCGTAAAATCGTTTCCAGAGTCAGATCCACCGCAAATATCCGGAGAAGCCAGACCACAATCCGAAAAATCAGATTCAGATTCAAATTCAGACGAGCCATGCAGCCAATCCATATGGTTCCTAATATCAAATCCAGAATTATCCCCCAAATGATTGACCATAGTATGCGTATCGACCAAATTTACAGGGACATCAACTAAAGTGTTAGAGCACACCGAATTTTCTTTCGTATTATCCACTCGCACACACTCAGCATTAATATCCACAATCACAACCTGTTTACACGTTGCCTCGACACCAGGTATAGGAGTTGCTGAATCGTCAGCCGCAGCCACAACAGGGCAAATATCAACAACATTGCTAAAATTAACACCAGCAGGATTAATAAAGGGGGTTAAAGCAACCCCAACCTCATTATTTGGTTGGAGATTCACCCCAACAATCAAAACATTATCCACATCCATAGGCAAAAGAACAGGAGGATGGGGAGGTTCAGCCAAAAAAGCATCATGAACAACAGGGACCACCACACCAGGAGACGGAGCAACCAACTCAACAGGCAACAAAACCTCATTAACCTGCATAGAATCCGAAACCAGGTTTTGATCCTCACCAACCTGAACCTCATCAACACCCACAACATGAGGCTTAACAATCTCAGCAGGAAGAGGATTAGAGTTAAAAGTAGGTAAAGCGGAGGAGGCACATTGACCCTTAAGATGGCCAAGACACTTGCAAGACTCACAAAAATCAGGAAAACTCTCCAATTGCACTTTTTGGATATACTCAGACTCCTCATGGCCAAGCCAAATTTGTGTCAGATAGGTTTTAGTAACATCCAGCTCAACTAAAACCCGCGCAAGTGAAGGCCTAGATCCTACAGAAGTAGTAGAATCCACCTTCAGGGGTTTACCGAACATACAACCCAAAGCGTGGAGGATGCGAGGAGTGTAGAGATGAGGTCTCAATTTAGGAAAGGATACCCAAATCGGAATGACCGGCGATTCACAACCGATATCCAAAAGAGGTGACCACTTCGTAATTTTCATAAAACAATTGTTCACCAGATAAGATCGATGACAAAACACAAGGCTATAATCAAGATCATTGCACAGTTTAATCAAAACATGCGACTGATCAAGATCCGTGACAGAAAAATCCGATTTGAGTTTGAGAGTAAAGAAAAACTTGCGAATAGCATCCAGAGACGAGCGTCTCGTGGGGAAGAAACCAACCAAAGCGAATTGGAAAGGCACAGAAAGAGCACAAATTTCAGCCTCATATATCCACAACGAAGGTAAACCACGAAAAGAACCATGATGGAGATCAGCAAAACACTCCGACGAGGAAGAATCAGAATGAGCCTCGACAAAAGACCTAGATTTAAAAGAGATATCCAAAAATCCTGGATCCTCAACTCGACGAGCTGCCATCCAGCCGCAAAGGGCCGGAGGAGGAAAACGGGTCAAAAAAAAAAAAACAGAGAAAGGAATGCAAAATGTAAAAATAGGAGGAGAGATCACTCCCCTGCAGAACCAGACGGAAGACGAAGGCTCCGAGCATCAGCAGCCACCGACGAGGAGGCTAGGGCGAAACCCTAGCAGAGCCAAGTCGCGGAGGGAAAAAATTGCGAATTAATATTTCATATATTTACTTCACTAAATATATATTTTTAAAAAATTATTATGTCGAAATATTCTAATACATTTTATATCATGATAGACATTTTAGGTCATGTGTCATGTTTTATTTCTGAATAAAGGTAAATTATTAAAAAAAATATTAAAATTTTTATATAATGTAACCTAACAATCAGACATTCATAAATATTAATATTGTAGAAAAAAGTAATGTAAATATTTAATAGTTTAGTTATATTGTATAATTGTTGATTTATATTGAGCAATAACATGTGAAATATGAAATTAATGACTCGTGCTAAAAAAAAAAAAAACCCAGTCCTCATAGAAAAATATGTCAGAAAATGGTGATAAAAAATTTCAATTTTTGCTCGATCTGTCAAAAAAAATTTTATAAAATTAAATATTCAATTTATGCATCCTCTAAAATTTAAAAGTTCAGAACTACAGACTATTTATATAATTAATTGAAATAATTATGTGTAAATAACTTAATGAATGAAATTGACTCACAGCCCTTGCTATCTTGATTATTATTTTTGTAATAGTAGGAAAAGAATCCACCGGCTCTTAGAGTTTATTTTCTCCTTTTTGATTGTTGCTCTTTTGAGCATTAGAGAGCTGGAGGATTCTTCTAAGGACTTTTGTAACCTTTTTATTATATAAACGCGTAGGCCCCATGTGAGGGTTTTAACAAAAAAAAAAAACTTAATGAATGAAATGGAATAGAAATTGAGCTCGAATCTGTTAAATGTAATAAAATTATACAATTAATTATAATTAAAGCTTAATCAACATTATTAGATGCAAAATGTGGAAAATATGTGTTCATTAAATTGCTAATTTATTATGTGAATCAACTATTAGTCATAATCAGTTTATTAGTTTGCAGTTAGATTTAGGCTTCGAAGTGGATGACTTTCTTAACGTTTCTTAAACATGTTTTAGTATAATTTTTTGTACTAAAAAGTTGATTTAAAAAGCAAGAAGAAATTCATCTTAAAGGAAACCTTAGTTTGCTCTTTCTTGTTTAAAGCTGACATATTTGTATAGCCATTGGTATAGCTCGTCTCTTAAATTTTGCTTTCTTCTCTATTTAAACAGGTGGGATTGATGGCTAGAGAGGGACCATGAGCTTGAGAGCAAACCAAGCAGGGGCGTGTGAACCAGCAGCTCTTCGCAACCTGAAGTGAGACTGAGAGCAGGGAAGTGAGGGACAGAGCTGTTTTCGATTCTTCGAGAAGGAAGCGATACTTATACTTCTTGCGATTTTCGGTAGGAGCTAGAGGGAGGAGAATGATTTGAACTCTTTCTTTGTGGGTGCTATAGGTGCATGGAACCGAAGAAAAAGGGTTAAGCTTCTTCTTGCATGATTACCGTCTTGAGATTCAATTGATTCAGAGGTTTTTCTTTTTCTCTCTATTCTTTCAAGAAATAATATGATGATTTCATTCCTTACATCTTTAGATAAAAAAATTTGGTTATGTTTTTAAAGATTAACCATGATCTAAAGCATGTTCAGGATTTGTAACTACTTCACAAAAGTGAATAAAAAGTATAAGCCCTCTTTCTCCATTTGAATGTAGGCACAAAATGTGTTGAATCACTTAAATTGCGCTTGTTCATTTCAGTTGTGGATGATTTTATGATTCTTTGCATTCAAGTTGTTTATATTCAAGTTAGCAATATTCTTGGTTAGAAATTTATAATCTTGTTTACTGTTTTTTCACCAAATATGCTTGCTCTTATTGTAGTTCGGAATATATTTGATATATCGTCAAAATTTAATCATGATCGGGCAAGAGCCTCAAAGTAAAATTGAGTTGAAAACTTCCTAAATTAAATCCGGGGCCATCCGAATTCTAATTTCAACAATCTGAACGTCTCGAAAAGATGAATCCAACAGCATCGAATTCGACCAAATCCGAGCCTAAATGGGTCCAAATCGAAGACCCAAAATACATTTGGAAGGTTTAAACCATAAATTGGAGGAACAAATGGTTTTTAAATATATACCATATATATTCTACTATCAAGATCTTTTTAAATTTTATTTATAATTTATGATAAATAATAAAAAATATTTTAGAGCGTAAGTCAATATCTTTTTCATTAAATTAAAATTTTTCATCATTCTTAAATTATGAATAAGTCAAGAATCATCCGATAAATCCTCTCCAACCAGAGAGAAAACCGCACTCGCATGCGAACGAAACCCAACGCCTTACCATGCGGACACCTACTCTCCACCTATATAAGATCCTGAAACGCCAAGTTTCACCACTGTTCATCGCCCCCAAAATTTCTTGAGCTTCTCTTCTCCAAGTTTCATCCCGTATTCGCTCCATCATTCTGCTCCCGCGAACCAGCCACATTTTCTAACTTCTGCTCGGTTTTCCCTCCGCTGATCCATCATTTCTGTCACCTCTATTTTCCCATCAATGGCAATCTCTGCTGAGAAGGTTCCTCCGTCGCCAAGAGAACCCCTCGCACCATCAGTTTCCTCAGAGCCACCATTGCCGAGTCGAGTTTCGCTCCGGTCTAATCTTCATGACTTCGATTCCCCGTTTCTCACAACCTGGGGAAAGAAGCGGGTCCTCCGCTGCCTGAACGTTAATCGCAAGGGTGAGATTATCGCCGGCCACCGCCGATCGGACCTAATTGGGCGGTCTGCTAACTTACGACAGGATGGCAATCACGTTACCATTAGAAATGAAGCCGGTTCCGAGGGAGGCAAGGCTAAACTCCTTCCCCGATTCCGCGAGGCCGCCGCTCCTAATTGCATGATACACGAGCCCGAACCTGATAACCAACCAGAAGTCCTACGAGCACCTTTTCCCTGCGCTCCTGCGGCTCCAATACCGATCCCGATACCTTCTTCAAATTCGCCTTCCGATGTGGGCCGGACGTGTAATAGGAGAAGCATGAGGGTGGCGATCCGCAAAAAGGTTTACTCCAGTCCTCCACCGCCACCTGCATTAGAGAAGAGCGTGCAAAGAAGGAGCGTCCGACTCCGATCTGAAAATCCGGAGAAGCGTGATTATTTGCCAAAGTTCTCAATTTCCCTCTCACGTAAAGAGATCGAAGAGGACTTCATCGCAATTACTGGATCCCGCCCTAGCCGACGGCCTACTAAGCGGCCCAAACACATACAGCAACAGCTCGATGTAAGTTCGTAGCTTTAGCCTACTTACAAGTTAACCCTTTTCTCTCATTTCTTTCTACATGCCAACATGTTTTCCCAAATTCTTTGCTTCAGAAACTATTCCCCGGTCTGTCGCTGCCCTCCATCTCACCAGCAACATACCAAGTACATGATTAATCTAACTGCGCTAAACATTCAATTACTTTTGAGTACTTCCCAGGCAAGCTAGATTATGTCTTTCATGTTACGAGAGATTATTCTTTACATACATCAGATCGGAGAAGCGTCCGGTTTATGCTTAGGTACCGAGCGGTACTCGGTACCGCTCGGTAGTTGCTCGATATCGGATGTGACGCATTTTCATTGGAGTTTGGACTTGAGACAGAATAATTTTCCCATGTTACAGACGCAAACCCAATTATTATGTGAGGAATCCGAATGTTGTTCTGTGTTCATACTTCAATTAAATTATGACACGTGTATTATATACAATATTTTTAATATATATTTTTTATAATTCATAACCCGACAAGTCCGCCCAGACCCGCTGGTTGTTTTGATAAAAGGCTGTCGGTGTCCCGAATTGAGCTGGACAGTGGCAGCTTTTTTTCAAAATGATTAGCAAGTTTGAGCGGACTCAACGTGTCGTGCCTTATAAAACAATTAATTAAAATTCATATATATATAATCTATATGTCATAATTTAACTGGAGTCTGGACGCAGGACTAAATTCATACTCCACACGTTATAATATCTCGGATGCTTCATCTGAAAGCTCTGTGCCCTTTCAATGATGTTTCTTTGCTCACAATGATGGTTCACTGTTGATTAATTTTACTAACAAAGTTTCTATTGACATTTCTTTAAGAAGTGATTGAAAATTCTTCTGCTATCTTCGAAGTGAATTTTTTTTTATTGGGAAAAATTGGGAATTATTGATTATTTTAATTCATGCACACGTTCTGTTGCCCTAAACTGTCTTACAATCAGAAATGTCTGGATTCCAATGTTCTTAGGAAGGCCTCAACGGGCCATGATGGGGAGTAATTATTACGTCCGGTCAAATCCGAACGTATCTGAATGTATCCCGAGCAATACCGAGTGTTCAATGCTGAGTTTTAGGTGATGTGGCGCGTGGTTATTGGTCTATGAATGTGTTCGGTGACCAGACGTAATAATTGTTCCATGATGGGTAACCTGTTTTCAATGGCCCGGGTTTTCTTATTTCGGTTTACCCATAACACATGGCTTAACCCAAAGCCTACCTGGCTCCATTATCTAAAAGATCTAGCTTCATAAAAATTGTGCTTGGTAATTAATTCTTTAAATAAACATAACTCATCTTGATCTATTAGTTAAGAGTTTTGATTATTAATTAAGAAATTTTTTATTTGGTATTTGAATATATAATGTGTGTATGAATTTATCTTAATTGACTCAAATGCCCTCCATAAAAAATTGTTTAAAATAAAATTAAAAATAGGTTGAGCAATGATCGGTTGTTTTTTTTCGTAGAATTAATTATTGTTTATTCTTACAATAATGTGTTTGCTAATTGCTACTCTAAAAGTTCTCAACTTTCTAATAAAGGCTTCATTTGAGGCTGCTTTCTTACAGCTTCTTAAAGCAGTTTTTTAATATCAAAATTAATTTTTTTTATTAAAAAATTGTTTTAATAAACAATAAGAAAGCCGTCCCAAACAAAGACTAAAGCACTGATCGAACGATGATTAGTACCTTTTTCGTGTTAATTATGATTTATTTCAGCATCGATGGAAGAAAACATTACTACGTTGAGTTTGTTTTCTAAAAGTATTTTAACTTCTTAATTTTTTCGTTGATTGTAAGGGGCAAAAATTAATGGTCCGTAAAATAATCTTCATGTTTTTTTATAAAAAATGATATCGTGCAAAAAAATTTTGAGCAAATTTTAATATTTTGAAAATAAAGATAATTATTGAAAGATGAAAATTTTAATTTATTTATAATGACTTTTTTAGTTAATACTATTATTGATAAAATATAACAAAAAACTGATAATATTTTATTTAAAAAGTTATTAATAGTCATCACCTTATTTTAAAAAAAATTCTATTATTACTTTGGTCAAAGAAAAATTAATTTAAAGCATGAATAATAAATAAAAAAAGGGACACCGATCCAGTGCTGATTATTAACTTATCAGAAGTTTTTTTTTTTTAATTATTATAGCCAACATATCTAAGGGTGTCAATATCCCACCGGATCGGGTTCGGGTTCGGATTTCCGACCCGTTTTCCTACCCGAGTTGGGTTAGGGTCAACCCGTTTAAACCCGGGTCAATTACGGGTTCGACCCGAACCCGACCCGTGATCCGAAATTGACACCCATACACAAATCCTTCCATTGAAACATTTATATTGATTTGTGATCGTTATTTAAGGGATGCAAAAGTTGTGTAACAAAGTATTTCAAATCTAAAGGTTTTGAGAATATAGATGTTTGACTTGAAATAAATCAATAAACTATAAAGTTTTGTTGCATTTAAAATTCACCTTCTTATTTTTTATGTATTTGAAATTTCTCAGATTTCATAGAATTTTAAATACATCAAAAATTCATTGTAATTGCGAAAACCCAATGGCCACACTGCCGCCGGCACCTCTACCTGTCGCCCCTTCCAACCACCACAGTCTTTCGTCGTTTACAACCACCACTATCATCGACTGATTGTCGTTTGCCATTACCGACCACTATCATGTTTGCACTTTTATTTCAAACTAAAAATAATAATATGTAGCATTCCTTTAATACTTATTCAAATAACACTTAAGCATTCATTTAATATTGCGTTCTTTTTTCAAACAATCAAATAGCTCTTTAGTGAATTGACATTCTTTATTCTTATTTGTTCATTTTTTAGTTAAACTCTAAATTTTTTATAAGGATTTTCTTTGAGAACTTAAGATGAGCTTTTAATGAGTTACGTCTGCGTTAACGACATGATCAAGATCTTTTTTGGGGGAATAGTAAGAGCAGGAGCTCTATTTAATATTTATACTTAAAAAAAAAAAAACAGTTAGCCCAAAAGAGCAAGTAGGAAAATACATATTGGATCTCTCTCTCTCTCTCTCTCTGCTCTGTGTCTCCTCCACTGATCCGCCATTTCTATCACCTCTATCTTCCCATCAATGGAAATCTCCGCTGAGAAGGTTCCTCCGTCGCCAAGAGAACCTCTCGTGCCTCCGGTTTCCTCAGAGACACGGTTGCAGCGTCGAGTTTCGTTCCGGTCTAATCTCCATGACCTTGATTCCCCATTTCTCACGACCTGGGGGAAGCAACAAGTCCTCCGCTGCCTGAACGTTACTCGCAAGGGTGAGATTATCATCGACCACCACCGATCGGTCATAATTGGGCCGTCTGCTAACTTACGACAGGATGGCAATCACGTCACCATTAGAAATGACGCCGGTTCCGAGGGAGCCAAGGCCAATCTCTCCTCCCTCGACTCCGCGAGGCCGCCGCTCCTAATTGCAAGATATACGAGCCCGAACCTGATGACCAACCGGAAGTCCTACGAGCACCTTTTCCCTGCGCTCCTGCGGCTCCAATGCTGGTCCCGACACCTTCTTCAAATTCGCCTTCCGATGTAGGCCGAACGTGTAATATGAGAAGCAGGAGGGTGCCGATCCGTAAAAAGCGGTGCTCCAGTCCTTCTCCACCACCACCTGTGGTAGAGAAGAGCATGCAAAGGAGCGTCTGACTCCGGTCTTAAAAACTAGAGAAGCGTGATTCTTGACCAAAGTTCTCAATTTCCCTATCGTGTAAAGAGATCGAAGAGGATTCATCGCAATAACTGTATCCCAACCTAGCTGGCGGCCTACCAAGCGGCCCTAACTCGTACAACGACAGCTTGATGTGAGTCCATGGCGTTAGCATTATTACACATTTTTTTCTCTCATTTCTTTCCCCACGCTAAACTGTTTCTCCAAATTCTTTGCTTCAACAACTCTTCCCCGGCTTGTTGCTTCCGTCCATCTCACCGGCAACCTACCACGTCCCTGATTATTCTATCTGCGTTGAACATTCAATCTCCTCTCTGTACTGCACAGATGCAAACCCAATTATTCTTTCGAAAAAAGAAATCATCAATGTGTTCACTGTTGGATAGCTAATTCGACAAATAAAATTTCTATTGGCCGTTCTTTAGGAAATAATTGAAAACTCTTCTGAAAATTTCGAAGTTGCGAAATACTGATTAACGTAATTCATGCACACGTTCTCGTTGTTGGTAGCCCGCATTCCGTGGGCCGGCTTTCCATTGCTCGGGTTGCCCATGCCATGTGGCTTGACCCAAAGCCTACCTGATTCCTAAATCGCTTGAAGAAATTCTCAATAATGGGTTTGCTGTTATAAATGTTCTTAACTTTCTAATGAAAATTTAAAATCGAACCATGATTAGTGCTTTCTGGCAGTAATTATGGTTTATTTTGGCATTGCTCGAAGAAAACGTCACTGGGTTCGGTTGGTTTTCTAAAAGTAATTTAACTTCTTCATTTTTACGTTGATTAGAGAAATTATTTTGTGGGGAGACCGGACATATAAAGCTGTCTAGAGACCAAGCAAAATACGTCATATCAGCAGCCTCGAGTCAAAGTACCGAGTGGCGGTATCGAACAAAGAGGTGACTTGACGCATTCTGATTGGCCTCCGAACAGCATTCGGCGTCCGCACATAATGCCTAATTTATTATAAGTTGCTCAAATTAAAGATCCGTAATACAAGCTTCATGTTTCTATAAAAAAAAAGGATATCGCATAGAGAGATATTTAATAGATTTTAATTATTTTAAAAATAATGATAATTATTAAAAGATGAATTTTTAAAGTTTATTTATAATGATAAAATCTATTTTTTTACTTAATACTTTAAATGATAAAATATAACGAAAAGGGATAATATTTTATTTTAAAATTTTTTAATGACGATAATATTCTTATAATTATTATTATTCGTAATCTTATTTTAAAAAATTTTATATTTGATTTTTATAA